GGGTCCTTACCTCCCCTGTGTGTGCAGAGCCTTGCTGAGGGGCACCCAAGCCTGCCTGGTGACAGTGGGGGTGGTTTGCTGGTGCCTGAGGTTGGCCTTCAGGCTCCGCTGCTCAACAGCTGCCTCCGCCCCCCCAAAAAAGACCAGCGTCCAGGCAGGGCAGCAGCTTGGGCCAGACCCTGTGGTGGTTGGCAGGCTGGTCCTCACACAGACAGAAGGATATGTCTGTGTGGCTTTTCCCAGTGAGATGTCCGTGTCTGGGGACGTCTGTCCGAACCCATCAGTCATCAGGAGCAGGTGGAACATGGTGGGCAGGGGTGGGGGAACACAGAGGGAGAAAAGTTTCTCACTCTGGTGGGTACAACCTGCTTCTGCTGGGCCCTGGGCCCCTCCTTTTCATTCTGGGAGGCACCATCCCCATTTCGCAGGTGGCCACTGAGGCTGGGCATGTCCGGCAGCTCCCCGTCTGGCCTGTGGTTTGAATGAGTGGGGGGCTGGGGTGTTGAGGCTGGCACTCGGCGAGTGTAAGAGGCCTGTCACAGGCTAGCCTATGGAATGTGAAAGCAATTAAAGCCACCAGCAGTGTTCGCTCCAGGCGGGCCTCGGGCGGCGGGGGAGCTGCCACAACACATCTTGCATCGACGCCCGAAGACTGCCCGCCCTGATTCACCGAGGCTGCGCTAGCCACGCCAGACCCTCTCCCCCTCTCCTGTGGGGCAGGGGCCAGGCCGAGTCCACCCTCCAGTCATCAGAGAGCTCGACGCCCCCCCCCCACCCCGGGTGTTCTGAAGCCTAGACTAGTGTTCCAGTGGGCGCCCAACACCCTTGCAGTGTCGAGCCAGTCAGAGGTCATCACAGTGAGGCAGGGGGTTGCATGCCTACCCCCTTGGCCAACCTGGAGACCCCCCAGCCTGTGGTGGGGGGAGGTTCCAACAGGGAGGGGTAAGGGGAGGGGGGCCTTGTGCCCCAACCCCAGAGGGCACAGTGTCTGAGAAGTTGAGAGGTCCCACAGACAAGACCCTTAGCCATGGCACTAAGGACTGAGGGGGTTGCAGGCAGGGGTAGAACACTAGTAGGGCCCAAGTGGGGCCTTGGCCAGGGTCAGGTTCAGGGAGAGGGGACTGGTGGTGAGAGATGATGCAGGCGCCAGCCAGGCCTGCCTGAGAGGTAGACTTAAGTCGTGCCCTCAGCCCTCTCAGGGTGGCCCTTGGGCCCCAGGCCAGGTGTGAGGAGTGGACAGGGCAAATGACCACAGCAGGGAGAGGACACGAGGTGGGAGGGCTGTCCCCCTCCTCACCTTTGGCTTTGGCTCCCTTCCTCTGGCAGTGGGGGCTTCTGGTTCTGGGCACATCTCCCTCCCCTAAACCCTTCTGCCCTTCTCTTCCTCATCCCCCCTTCCCAACATCCTTGCCCACCCCCCACCCCCGCCCCACCTCTGGTTTGGCACTGCGCGTCCCCGTGGCCATCTCTCCCAGCCCCTCACCCAGGCTTCCTCTGCCCACCCATTGGCTATGGCGGCCTTCCCAGGGCGGGCGGTGATGTGTTCTCACTTGTGAAGCATCCCTGTCAAAAGCACTTAGTGTACAAATTAGCCTCTGCTTCCCGCCTCCCTCTGCACAGCTCTGGGCGCTGGACTGACAGGGCCAAGGCTCCGGGCCCTCTCCCGCCTGCCCCAGGGCCACGCAGCCCATGTGCACCTCTGGCCGCCCGCCCACGACCGAGCAGGAGGGTGGCCCCCAGACACCAGGGCTCTTCTCAGGGGCCCGGCTTCACCTGGATGGGACCACAGAGGGCGGGATGTGCAGGGATATACTGGGGAACAGCACCTGGACCCACCCTCAGCGCCAGGTCCAGTGTTGAGAGCAATGGGGGACAAACGAGCTGTGCAGAGGCTCTGCAGCCCCCACCCGCTGGCCAGACTGCCACTCAGGCAGGGAAAATCGGCTGTGACAGGCCCAGGAAGGCCAGGCCCCGGGGGCCCGAGGAACAACGCACACAGCTCTTCTCCCAACATATGGTTGCTGTCGGCCCAGGGCACTGCTTGGCCAGTGCTGCCTCCAAAACCGGGTGGGGGCTCTGGCGGCCCAAGCCTCTCATCCCACCTGCCTGGCCAGGCTGCTCCCTCATTGGTCCAAAAGTTCTTGCCCCAGCTTGCATGCCTCCTACGATGGGGAGCTCACTCCCAGTACAGACCCTCTCCTCCATCACGGCAATCTGAGGCATACAGAGGGCTCCCACACCAGGGTGGCTGATGACCTAGTGGGTGCAGGGGTAGAGTACATGAGGGCCATCAGGGCTTCCAAAGGAGACAACTCTGGAGCTTTGGAAATCGAGGCACAGCAAAGCAGGTGTGGTCCAGCTACCCTGCAGAGTCTGTTGATCCAGGAGAGCAGATGATAGGCCTTCTAGGGTCCTTGGTATCAAAAGTGTCCCAGCTGGACCCCTCTCCTTTAGGGTGGACCAGCTTGGACAGCCCCCCTCACAGACTCCCTGGGGAATTAATTCCCAGCCTTCCAAGTGCTTGCACGGGGGGCCTGAAAACCTGCTTGAATTTCCGTCCACACAGTTGCCCAAACCCATCACTGTGGCTCGACCTCTCCCCTCACAGCCCAACTGTGGGTTACCCGTGCTCTTGGGATCAGTGGCCTCAGGCGTGCCCCCCCTTACAGCCAAGCCCTGGGCCCATCCCTCTCTGCTTTGGGTCCCTGAGGCCACCTCAAATGGGCAAGGTGGAAGAAGTGCCGAAGGCGATCCATGCTCTGGGCCCAGAGGCTCTCAACACTGAGGCTGCCGTGTGTCCCAGGGCTCATCAGCGAGTGGGTGAACGTGAGCCGTGGCCGTCAGCCTGCGTGGTGCTGACCCTCCCAGGGGCTGACAGGCATCACCTGGGTGCTCCTGTCCCTCATTCTTCCACCCATGGGGCAGGTGCAGGCTGGCCCAGCCCCTGCCCCTATCCAGGGCGGTGTGTGTACACTGATGGGATGAGGCAGGCCTATGGGGCGCCGTGCCACCCTCCCCCACCTTCTCTAGGCCTGTCGCCTGTTCGGCCCCTGCAACCCCCAGCACGCACATACCAGCATTAATGGAGGGGACAGGTGCGGGGCTGTGAGCAAGCTGGGCAGAGGTGAATGGCCAAGATGAGCTCTGGCTGGAGGCAGAAGAAGGAGCTGGGTGTCACCACACCACCCTGCCCTGGAACCAGCTGAGCAGAGAGAAGGCCATTCTCCAGGACCTCACTGGTGCCAGGAGCACCCAGAGGCTAAGTCTCCACCGCCCATTCTGCAGGTGAGGGCACCGAGGCAAGGGTTTTGGACTCAGGGTAATGCCCCATTTCGGTGGAAAGTGGGACAGGCCCCAGGCACAATGTGTGCCAGCTGCGAGGGAGCAGATGTGCCTGGAGAGCCTCGAGCAGAAAGCACAGGGGCTCATGGGGTTGGCACTGACGTCCTGGCCGAGCCCACTCCCGTGTGGTGGGTGTGGTCATCTGTGCACCTGCTGGGGTGGCCCAACTTGCATGCCCATGCATGGACCACCCGGCTGCAGCTGCACCCGAGCTCTAGGAACCCCCAGCCCCAGGCAACAAACTCATGGCCCACCTGTACCCCCTACACAGATGCCTCCTAGAGACCCAGAAAACCCTCCTGGAAGCCTAGAAATGTGCCCAGGTCATGCCCCTTGGGTGCTGAGTTCCTCTGGAGGTGCTGCCACCTCTCCTCTCACCCAAATTTCCAGGGAAAACAGCAACAATGACGGCCGCCATGCCTGGTGCTGAGCTGACCCTCCTTGGCCTCCCCCTTTTCCCAGAACCCAGAGTTCTCGCCTCCTCCCTCCTCCCAGGGGCTCCTTGGTCACCTGGACTTCACTGGTCTGTTCGCTCTGCATGCTTTGTGCAAACTTCCTGATCCATGGCCTTCCTTTCCCTGAGGGATGGCAAGAGCATCCAATCAGTCCATCCCGTGATGGTGACCTTTGCCTCTCCTCAGAAGGGTTAGCCAGTGAGTGGTGGAGAAAGCTGTTCCCGGGACCAAGTGGCCAAGGCCCAGGATACCCCCTCCCACTGTTTCAAGGTGCTCCCTGCCCTCTCTGCGCGCAGTGTCTGTGGTGAAGGGCCTGGGCTTGGCTGAGCATGTCCAGGGTTGGGTTGTGTGCAGGAGGGGCAGGCCTCCTGGCCCCCTCTCTCCACAGGGCTGCTGGCACGATGGCTGCTCAAGCTGTCTCTCGGCCTGGGGCTGCCTGCACGGTCCGCTAGTCAGCCAGGGGCCAGGCCAGTCGGGCAGAGAGGAGAAGACTGGCAGGCTGTGCCACCCATGGTGGCCCCTTCCTGCCCTGGGGGCTTGAAGGGAAGAAGTGAGCCACCCTAAGTTGCATCAGGGGAGGTGGCAGTGGGGCACTGACCCTCACGTCAGTCCCTGCACACCGGGTGCCCCCGGAGCCACAGAGCCCTGTTCCTTATGAATGCCTGTTGTAGTCAGAGAGGGAGACCTGTGCCAATAACTGGGCCGTGGCTTGTTACCCTCCTTGGGAAACTGAGGCCTGGCTTACAGGGCCCAGGACATATTAGACTCTGGATCCAGTTCTCTCCAGTTTTCTTTCCCCACTGAAGATGCAACAGCCCCTAGTGGGGACCCCTTCCTTTCCCAGTGTGCTCCTGTCCCCCAAACTGAGCTGGGGATACCCCAGCAAGCCTAAGCTAAGCCTGCAGGGAGAGCCGAGTGAATGGTCCTGGGGCCCTCTGCACCTCCACAGAGCTGGCTGCAGCAGCAGCCGCCCCTCTGGCTGCCAGGGCCATGCCCTGCCTGAAACAGCACCATCACGCCTCTCTGGGATGCCCCTGGATGAGGCAGATTTGCTGGGAGAACACGGCCTGGCCCTATCCTGGCATGTCTGTGTCTATGTCCAGGATGGGACTGGCTGGCCAGAGGAATTTTCACGAGGACCCAGCTGGAAAGCAGTGGGACCCCAGACTGTTAAGATTTGGTAGCTCAGGGAAGAAGGTGAAACCTGGTATGCCCTGGGTAGGGCTGGGAGCGGCTGTGGCCGTGAGGGCGTTAGAGGGAGGAGGTATCATGGCGGGTCCTCAACGTCCAAGCCTTTCCCTGGCCTCGCCTCTTACCCACTCCAGGCCCTCCGGAAGTGGGGAGGAGCCCTGGCTATGCAGTCTTCCTAGGACACCGGCCAGGGGAGCGAGGAGTCCAACCTGGGAACAGGAGAGGTGGTAATGCTTCCAGGAAGCGGGGAGTGAGTGAGTGGGTCAGCGGGCAGGGAAAGGATTGAGGGGTGCAGATACACTCAGCCTCCTGTTTGGAGAAGCCGAAACAACACTGGAGGCAAAGGCCTGGCCAGGCGGAGCTGGCCAGAAAAGCATTCTTGCCCCCACTGTCTATGCATTGGGCTATGCCACTCAGCTGAGGGCTCCCACCCTTCCAGGGCTAGGCTCCGTCCCCTCCTGGGCTGGGCTGCAGCCCTCCCCAGGCTGGCTCTGTTCCCCATAACACCTCCTGTCCTGGGGCTTGGCCCCCAGGCCCTGGCTCAGGCCGGCAGCTGTCAGGGGCCAGAGCCCTGCCCTGACGGATGAGTGCTGACGGCCGCTCTCCATGTGCCCTCTTCCGCTGACACCCCATCACACCGCTGCGGGGACCCCGGGAGACCTGGCCGCCTCTGCGCACCCCGGCGGCAGCCTGCAGGCGACGGGGGGCGGGGACGGTGCCAGGCGCCCCGCATTCGTCTGCACACCTGCGCCTCCACTCCTGGCTCCTCCGCGACGCTGCTTTCCCTGGTGGTACCACTGGTGTCACCGGCCACCGCTCTATCCAGGAGTTAACGGCGCTGCGGAGAGAGCTGAGCAGGTCCTGGGCAAGCCAGGCTGGTGAGTGCACGCGAGGGGGTGACCGTGGGCAAGTGAGAGGAGGAGAGACGGGGACTGGGGAGGAAGCGGGTCACCAGGTGGCCAAGGCGAGACCGCAACCTACGGTTGCTCTCCCCCTCCCCCGCAGCGGGTGTCGGAGGTCGCAGCGCCCCCCGGAGCCGGAGCCCGGCGCCGCGGCGCACGCGCGGCCGCTCCTGCCGCGAACTTCGGTGGGTGCGAGTCGGCGTCGGGGGGACGCAGTCGGTGGCGGAGGATTCGGAGACTCGCTGTCAAGTGAGTGACTACGGACGGCGCGGGGGGCCGCTCCCAGCACCGGGCCTCAGTTTCCCCTGCGGGATCCCGCGACGCTGCTCCGAAGAACCTGAGCAGGTTTCCCGTGGTCTGGAGTGGCGGCCGGCGCCGGCAGGGGGAGGGGGAGATCGGGGAGCAGGGGGTGGTGGGTGGGGAAGGTTTCGGGGTGGGGCGGCGGCGAGAAGTTTCTGCCTTAGCCCTGGGTCGATCCAGGCTCTGTTCTGGCCAGGGCTCAGGCAGGGCGGGCGCAAGCATCAGCGCCTCTTTCGAAGTTCAGGGGGTGCATGGGGCCGCGCTGGGCGCGAGGGCTAGGGGCTGGGGGCGGTGGGACGCCGGGAGTATCCGGCGCGTTCCAGGCAACCCCAGCCCCTACGTCCCCCACTTCCCAGCGTCTAGGCTCCTTCCTTACACCCGGATCGTCCGAACGAAGCAGCCCCGTCTCTGTAGGAAGAGGCTCGGGAGGGCTAGGCAGGCGGGAGTTGGGGGTCTCGGTCCTCAGCCTAGGAGGAGCCTGGTCATCCCTTCTGCACCACACCCTGCAGGGTGCTCCCCAAGTCCCAAAGGGGCCAATGGCATGGGTGAGCTGTAATCCTCTGGTGGCCAGTGGTCTCTCCAGGCGCTGGGCGTAGGGACTTCAGTTCCTGGCCTGCCACCAGTTCTCCCCAGACAAGGAATTATTGGGGTTGGGCGTCTGGCTGGCAGAATGTGGGTGCAGGCCCCTCTGGAAGCATGTACGCAGTCACGGGTAGGGACACGTGTGCAAATGAATGTGCTTTTGGGTGTATATGGGTGTGTGCTGGTGTCGGGCTGTCTTCTGCTTGTGCACAAGCACACAGAGGTGGGCGTCAGGCGTCCTCTGGGTCCCCGTGGGGTCAGCAGCTGCTGAGGTGGTTCCTGAACAAGCTGCCCCACCCCCACCTCCTGAGCTGTCAGGCCTGGAAGGAGACCCCCCCCAAGTCCAGGGGCTGGGCTGGGAGGTGAGGTGGGTGGTGGCACCAGGCGGCACAGCTGTGTGGCTCCCAGGGCTGGGTGATCGATGGCCCCAGCACAGCCGTCTCTATCTCCCCAGCACACATGCCCATTTGTCATCTGTGTCTTAGGGGGGGCCGGGGGCTCGGGGAAGGCCTGCCTCTGCACCCACCACCAAGTCCAGGGGGTTCTGCAGCCTCTTGGGAAGCCCCAAGCCCTTTCCTGGGCCCAGCCCACTCCTCCCAACCCCCGTACCCCTCTTGGAGCCCCATCCCCTCCCAGATGCGGACACCCACAAACCACAAGCAGAGAGTCGCTGCTTGCCCTACCTTCCACGTCCTGGCCTTAACTACGCTGACGCCCCTCTCAGGGGTCTCCTCGGGTGAAGAGGCCTCTCTATCCCTCTGGCTGTCCTCATAATGGGGGAGCCCACCCAGTGTTTGAGGGGAGCAGACATGGCTGCCTGCCATGTGCAGAGCCCGAAGGCCAGCAGGGAGGACAACCTGCTCTAGTGGCTGCCCGGCCCCCCCAGCCCCCCTGTTCACCCACTGGCCGGCCCTGAGCCCGGGGGAGCAGGGCGAATGTGCCCGTCCATACCCATGGGGGTGTCTGTAACCGTGTGTGCCCGTGGGTGTGCAGTGTGCGTGTGTTGTCTGAATGTGTGTGAGTGTCTGCTCACACCCCGCCTGTGCTGTGTTGTGAGTGCATTCACATGCAGCTACCATGTCCACTCTGAGTGTGGTGTGAGTCTCATGTGGGTGTGTGCCCAGGCCCCATGCATTTTGGTGGTCCACTCTGTTCGGAGTTGGCCCAGCTGTGCAGAGGTGTCCCTCAAGACGCCGAGTGAGGGTCATCTAGGGGCTCACAGGCCTGTGTGCACACGCTCTCCTTGTGTCCCACGCAGGCATGCACCAGGGTGGCGGCCAGCCCAGGTGGCGGCCCAGATGGAGTGCAGAGCGGCTTCTGAGTGAACATGCAGGGCATGGGGAGAGGAAGGTCTTGGCCGAGCTCAGCCACTGCAGGCTCGGCTGCTGACCTGCCTGAAGCCACCCAGATGGAGCCAGGCTGAGCAGGTGGCCGTGCTGTGGGGTCGTGCTGTGACATCCACGCCCCCCAGCCTGGTCTAGCCCCACGTGAGGCTGACCCCCCCAGAGACCTCTAGTACCCAGCCGGAGCACACGCTGGTGCGCGCACGGAGGCTCGGAGCCTTCTGCTGCTTTCTCATCCGAATGACTTTTTATCTCGGCTTCCTGGCATGGGCAGAGGGGCTCTGGAGGGGAGTAAGACAAGGAAGAGCTCATGTCCCCCAGAAATGTGCCTGGTCATACTTGACTTCTTCCAGTCACTCACCAAATGCCTGCAGTGTGGACAGAAACAGGCCTGGGTGGAATCACCATGTGGTGGGGCTGCTGGGGCTGGGGCAGAGATAAAATGCAGGGTGTCTAGTTAAATGTAAATTTCAGGTAAACAACAAATACTTTTTAGTACATTGCAAATTTTGGCTAGAGAGTATACTTATACTAAAAAAGCATTTGTGTTTTATTTGAGTCAGGTGTACCTGGGCAGCCTACGTTTTTATGAGCTACACCTGGCAACCTTAGACGTGCGCGTGGAGAGGAACTAAAGGGTGAGGTGGGGAGGGCATTCCAGGTCGGGGCTGCGTGTGCAAAGTCCAGGGAGGCCCAGGCTGCAGCATGGAGGCAGCGCCATGCCAGGCTTCTGCTCCTGGAGCTCGGGGAGCTGACAGAGGCACTGACCAAGGTCCCCTTGTCTGCAGGTGGTCATGGTACCGTGGCCTGTCTGCTAGCAGTCTGCCATGTCCCAAGAGGTGGGAGGCTCATGCCGCCTGGGCTCTGGGGCCCGGGCCCGGGCACGGAAGCCCAAGAAGCCACACTACATCCCTCGGCCCTGGGGCAAGCCCTACAATTACAAGTGCTTCCAGTGCCCGTTCACCTGCCTGGAGAAGTCGCACTTGTACAACCACATGAAGTACAGCCTCTGCAAGGACTCCCTCTCGCTGCTGCTTGACTCTCCAGACTGGGCGTGCCGCAGGGCCCCAACCACATCCCGGCCCCCCGGGCCCACCACAGACTGTCCCTCTGGCCCCACAGACCCTGGCAGGCACCCCCGAGGAGCTGAGCTTCCAGATAATCCCACCTCACCCGACCTCATTGTCACTGACACTCTCTCCCAGCACTGCCGAGTTGGGGGCCCCAAGCCAGAGGCTGAGGGGTCCCCAGGGACACCACCCTCTGTGGCCAAGGATGCCCAGAAGGTTGCAGGCCTTGGTGGGCTCCTGGCTGAATCATGGAAGCCGAGGCCAAGCAGGGGCCCCAGGAGCTCAGTTACGGTGGACTCGGCTACAGTGGGCCCTGAGAGCGGCGTCCCCTGCTACCCTCCGCCCGCTTCCAGCGAGTTCCCCGAGGCCCAGAGCCTCCAGCTGTCCCTGCTGGGAGTCAACTACCCTCTTGGCCCCAGCCTCTTCTCCTACCTGGGTCCCTCCCTGGCTGCCGCAGCCCATATGCCCTTCCTGGGCTCAGCCAGCCCCCTGCTTCCCCCAGCCTCTGCCTTCCCTGCCCTGCAGCCCCCCGAGCACCCCACCCCTATTCCCCACCTGTACTACCCTCTGCTCCTGGAGCATAGCCTGGGGCTGCAGTCAGGAAAGGCTGCTCCTGCCAAGCCCCCTGCCCCTCCCAAGGGACCCCCTGGGACTCTGGCCCCTGGGCTGCTGAAAGTGCCAGTACCTGGGCTGGTTGGGCCCTGGCTCTGTGGTGCCCCCAGGGACCCAGGGCAGGAGAGTGGGCTGGAGCTTGCTGCCCAGAGTGACCCCAAGAGGAAGCTGCCCCTGGGAAGCAGGCTGCAGCCCCCGAAGGCCCCCTCCAGAATGGCCAGCTTTGGTTCCCAGAGCAGGTAGGTATCAGGGCCCCCCAGTCATGTAGGGGGGAGGCTGAGGTTGGGGGAGGAGGGCAGGGCCCCTGTCCTGAGCTCAGTGCCCAGGATTATAGGCTTCAGGCCACAGACAGGTTACTGAGACCAGAAAGCCAGCCTGTCTGTCTTTCTGGGGTTCTGAGTCTCTAGGCCAGGGAGACAGGCTGCACGGGGGACACAGGGGGAGAGGGACAGAGGCTGGGGGTGCTGGGGGCACAGCACAGCCTCTGACTGGCTCCTACTCCCTAGCCTGCGGACTGGCCCTTCCGTGATTCTCTGGCCTGAGGACAAGGAGCCAGGCGACCCTGAGACCCCGGGCCCTGTCTCCCCCCTGCCCCAGCAGCCATCGGGCCCGATGCTCGTGGTCCCTGGGCATGTGTGCGAGGACCTGACACGCGCCCTCGGTGACTATGCTAGGGTGGAGCAGCGCCTGGGGCAGTTGGCACCTGCCAGGGGCCTGGCTCCACGGCCTCTTCGGGAACAGCTGGGCAAGATCCGCCGGGAGCTGCTCACCATCCACCAGGTGCTAGAGCAGGCCGTGCGGCCCCCGGACGTGCCCCTTGACCTCTCTGTGAAACGGACGTCCTCCAAGTTACCCGAGGTGACCTCGGGAGCCTGGGGGCAATCAGAGCTGGGTTCCATACTGGTCCAGGGGGCCCCTGAACCCCCCAGAGTGCTGGGCCCCACAGTAGCTGAGCCTTTCTCTGGCCACACCACCAAGTGTGAGGCTGACTCCAGTGTCCCACCTCCGGGACTCCCCCTCAAAGCCCCAGACGACCCTGTCATTCCTGGCGGTAGCTGGGGCCCCCGTGGCAGGGTGGGGGGCTCCTGGCCCTCGGAGGCTGTCTCTGGCCTTCAGAGCTCCCCAGGCGCAGAGGTCTGACTGCAGCTCCTGCCGCCACCTCTGTCGTGACGGAGGTCCTCTCCCAACCCCATGCCCACCCCCTGGCCCTCTACCTGCCTCAGACCCTGAGGTGAGGCCTGGAGCCTGCCCAGCATGCCCATGGACAGACCCCACCCACCATGGCTGTGGCCTGTCTCTGGGGCCACAGGGGGACAGCAGAGAACCATGGTTTTTTATCGATCACAATTATGGACATTAAAATAGAAACCACCTTCACACACTGTGTCTGAGCCTCCTCTTTCCTTTCCTGCTGCGCCATCACCCGCAGAACACCTTCTCCGCATGGAAATGTACCTGGCCTGGGCGTCCGGGGTGGGGAGTGTCCTGGGCCTCCCTGCCGGGTGTCTACTTCAGGTCCTGACCTGCCTCCCATAGACTGGGCCCTCCCTGGGGAGGGGGCAGAAACTGGGGATAGAGAGGGGGCTTTCCATCAGAGGGGGCAGAGGCAAGGAAAGGCAGGTGCGTGTGGCCTGGGGGCCGATCGGATGGTTCGGCGCATCAGCGGTGGGCAGGGCCCTCCAGGTATGCCTGCAGCCCTGAGTCTGGCAGGACGGCCCTCACGTCAGGTTCGTGCTGGAAGCCGCTCCCACTGTGGTTAAAAGGTGCCCCCCACATTCTGTGGCCCAGGGCTGCTCGCCCGGCATGGCCTCCACTGGGCCCCCGCCAGGCCCTGCAGCCATGATAGGCATCGGGTGGCCTTCACAGCTCGCTGCCTCCCTCCCAGCAGAGCTGGGCCTGGCTTGGCCTTTCCCACAGGCAGGGGTGGGGGGCAGGTAGAAGGGGTTCCCAGGGGACCCTTGGATCCAGCTAATCACTTCTCTCCCTGTGAGGTGGCCACACCCCTGTGCCCACTCAGGAATGGCCCCAGGGAAGGCAGTTCCTGCCTGTGCCTGGCTCCCCAAGCTGGGCCAGCCGGGCTGAAGCCAGTCGGAGCAGGACCTGTGGCTGCCCCATTAACTGCACCGGGCAGCAGATAGCATCGGCTGCCCTCCCCACCAAGGGCGTTAAGAGCCAGTGTCCACGAGGCAGGTGTAGACCAGCCAAGTGGGGAAAGCTGTGAATCGCAGACAGAGGCTGACTCTCCACCTGCCTGGGGCTTCCTGGAGGAGCTGCAGGGGACTGTGGGCTGAGTTAGGAAGTGTCCAGAGAACCCCCAGGTCCTGAGCCCTCAGCCTCCCATCGGCACCTGCCAGTGTGGTGTCTGCTGCTCCTTGCTTTCTCATCAGCCACAGGGCAGACGGGAGCCTGCCTGCTGGGGGAGATCACCCCAGCTTCACAGGTGCAGGAAAGGGATCTGGAAGACAGGATCCAACCTGCCCAGTCTGGGGGTGGGGGGACAAGAGGGACCCCTGGTGGTCCTCCAGCCTGGACTGTGGCCCTGTGGGAGGGGCGTGTGGTGGTGGGTGGGGCTGTCCATGACTGACATTGCAGAGGAGCGTGGGGTATGGGTGGCTGTGGGGGCCTCCCTGTGGAGGGGTTTGTTGGGCTGACCATGAGTGGCATTCAACCAAGCAGGGGCAGCAGAAAGAATGTCCCAGAGGCCAGTGCAAAGTCCCCAAGGCACACATGTAGCAGCACTGGGGAGTCCCTGGCGTTGGAGTGTCAGGACTCCACTGGGGCCGGTGGCTCCTCCTTTGCCCACGTCAAGGTGGCTCCTCCCACTTCCTCAGGCCCTAGTAGCTGCTGGTGGAGCAGGCCCCAGGACCTGGCCCCAGGTAGGAGAAGACCTTTCCTGCTGGCCTCCCTGGGTAAGGACAGGTGGACAGGCCTAGGACAGGACCCCGGCCTCCTCCCTCAGGGGTGGAAAGTTCCCAGGGACTGTGTGAGGGCAATGGGCAGGGGACAGGGGCTTGGGCTGTCCCCCAAGAAGGGTCATTTTCCCTGCCTAAAGGAAGGAAGGGTTTTGTGGGCTGATGAATTTGAGAAATTGTTCATCTGTCACCCCAACCTCCACTTTGGGACATCTCAATGCCCTTGAGCTCATTCAAGCATCAGAGAAAAACTCATGGCAATCTTCATGGGTCCACGTCTCCTGGAACTGTCTCCCAGGTATCACACCTAGGAGAACAGGACTTTAGAGACACAGCTGGCTGCTGGGTTTGCAGACTGAGCTGGACTCAGGGCCTGGTGAAACTGAGTTTAAATCTAGCTCCCCCACCCCCCACCCCCGTGCTTCAGTTGCCTCATCTGTAAAACAGGAGAACACCAGCACTGCCTGGGCGGTCAAAGGAGAACCTCGGTAGCTGCTGGTTGGCGCACAGTGGGGCATTCTTTCTCTAGCTGCCCCAAACTCGACTCAACTGTAGTAACTTACCTCAGAGCGGGGGAGCCAGCATATCCACCCTCTGGCCTCCTGCTCTGACCCCCCTGACCTTCCCCACTAGCTGATCAGCTGCCCCTCAGGGCCTTCACCTCATTCTGGACCGACCTGGAGACTCCACTCACTCCTGGCTGCTCAGGGAGGTCCAGGTGCCTTCAGGACCTGGACAGGGGCCCCGGGTTCTGCACTACTCTCCAAATGGCCTGCCCTTCCTGACAGCTGGGTCTGTTCCCTACATCTATGTGCTGGACCTTGTGAGACTGCCACTTGCCCTGCCAAGTTCCAGGGGTCGGGGACTTCCTGCCAGAGGATGTGGCTATGACAGCTGCTGGGCTCATAGTGGTCAGTGACCTTGTCCACAGGGCTGTCCATGTGCTCATGGACATACTTCCCAAACCCCCAAGGCCACTGGGTGACAGTGGACACCTCCTGGCCCCTCAGGGGCTGGCTGTGGATGCCCCTGGCTGCTTCCTGGTAACAGACTATAGGCCTGGGGCTGTACACAGCTTCGCATCAGTCCCCACCTTGGAGCTGCTGGCTTCAGCCTCCATGCTGCGTCTGGAGGGCCCCTGCTGGGTGGGCCTGGGGCCAGATGGGGGCTTTGCTGTGAGTGAGGAGTTCGGGGCTGTTCGGCAGTTCCTGCCACCCCGGGCTTCCCGGGGGGCCTGCCAGGGCCTGCCTTTGGCAGCCCAGCCTGTGTGTGCACTGACTCAGAGGGTAATGTCATTGTGACAGACAAGCAGCAGTGCCAAGCTGCCCCTGCTTCCCTGGGCTGCGGCACCTACCTGCTTGGTGTTAAAGGGGCTGGGGCAGCCCTTGGGCATGGCCTGTGCGCCACAGGGCCAGCTCATGGTGGCGGATGCAAGAGGCAGCTACATCAAGAGGTACCGGTGAGGCAGGATAGTAAGAAGCTAGGAAAATTCCTTGACAAGTGGAATAGGGAAACTGAGACAGACAGCTGAACACACTGGCCGATCAACTCACAGACAGGTGCAGATGGTCACAAGGGGAACCCAAGTGCCTGGCAGGGGACAAACTGGGAAAATGAGGACCTTGCCCCCAGAATAACCTCTTCTCTCCTGGTCTTTCCTCCCTGGAGACAACATCCAGGCCTCAGTTGTGTTTCAGCTCCAGGCCCAGAAAAGCAGCAAAACCAGGTGGGCGATGCCAGGACCAACTGCAATGACTAGAGAGCCCCTGACCTGTCACTGATCAATCAGTGGAGAGCATGACCCTGCAAGGGCACACCTGGAGAACTGATGATTATTCTTCTGAAACCCCCTGAGACCTCCCCTAAGATTCCTGCCTATAAGAGACAGAAAAAAGCCTCAAGAGGAAGGACCCTGCTAGAACCGCTCTCCCTCTGAAGAGCAGCCCACACCATTCCCTTTCCCTTCTTCTCCCCCCACTTCTTTCTTCACAGGCACTTGCCTCTTAAACCCTAAGGCCATGGGCGGCAGCAGCTTGTCCTGGGCTGATCCCTTGAACCTGTCCCCTAAGACCCCTTTTCTCTGACTTTCCAGTGAGCTACGGCAGCCCAGCCTAAGCTCTCCTGTTGCTTCTATGCTAAGCCCTTGTTTCACTGTCCCCAGCTTTAATAAATGTATCCTCATAGTCACCTGGACTTGTGTTGTGGAATCTTTCCCACATGAAGTCAAGAACCCACACGTTACAACTGGCCCTAGGCGGACCTTGTCAGGGCCAGGCCCCCGCCCAGTAACACCAGTACCACTTGTATCTGGCCTGACCAGATGGGCTCAGATGGCAGCAGTCCCCTCACTGTGCATAGGTCCAGCCCCCAGGTTCCCAGACCACTATGAGAAAAGCATTGAGGGTGGTAGAGTCCTTCAGGGCTGCCAGACATGCCTTTCTGACCCTGCACATTCACTGAGCACCTACTGGGCCAGGCCCTGGGCTGGCCACCTGTCTTCCTCTTGGAAGGAATTCAGACTTTGTCAGAAGTTACAAATCAGCTGCCTCCCAGCCTCCAAAGCTGAGTCCTCTCCATGCCCCAGTTCACTGTGCCCCAGAACTCACTGCCCCCATGTCCACTCAGGCCCTGGCCTGCTGGCTTATGGCCCAGAAGACCTGCGCTTTGGGGCCAGCAGCTGAAGCCTGGAGATCTTTGGTGTGTTAGGCCAACAGCCAGTACTTACCCAGGCAGGCTCTCCCACCAGGTGCCCCGGTCCCAGTATCATAATCAGTCACAGGCAGGCAGGGAGGGTGCGGCTGGGCTGGGTTAGGCTAGGCTGGGTGACCAGGGCAAGGGTGCGGCCCCTAACAGTCCCTCATCCTCAGAGACGTGTCAGGTTCCAAGCCTCCTGTAGCCTCTCTGGGACTAGCTGAGGTAAGGGGGAGGCAGAGGAAGGGCTACCCTGGAGGCACTCTGGGGTGTCACAAGGCTGGATTGGGAGCCTCCATGGCCCTGGCCACTTCTCTCATGTGAGACTGTCTCACAGGCTCGCTAATCATTCATTTTCTCCTCCATAAACCAGGGCTGAACAGCTCCAAGCTCATGGGTGGGGGTACTGGGAGGGTTCCGGGTGGTGGTCAAGTCTAGGAGAGCCTTCCTATGAGGACAGACTCCTGCTGCTTAAAAACAGCAGGGAGCCCTGGCCAGCGTGGCTCAGCTAGTTGCAGTGTCCCATACATCAAAAGATCATGGGTTCGATCCCAGGTTGGGGTGTGTATGGGAAGCAGCAAATCGATGTTTCTCTCTCACATCAATGTTTCTCTCTTTCTCACTTCCTCTCTCTCTAAAATCAATAAATCTTATTTAACATTTTTTTAAAGATTTTATTTATTTTTAAGGAGGGGAAGGGAAGGAGAGAGAGAAACATCAACATGTGGTTGCCTGTTGCGTGCCCCCTTCTGGGGACTTGGCCTGCAACCCAGGCATGTGCACTGACTGGGAATCGAACTAGTGACCCTTTGGTTCACAGGCTAGCACTCAATCCACTGAGCCACACCAGCCAGGGCTATTTTTTAAAGTAAAAATAAAAAAGGTAGCATGGAAATGAGACCCCAAAATGGTAGGGAAGTGTGGAGTGACTCTGAGTCTGGTGCCTAGCCAGGCTCCCAGTCCCAGTGAGGGGTCTTCATCAAGAGGGGACAGTGCCTGGTCCTGACCCCAAGGGCTGATGAAGGGGTGCTCCTGTTTATCACAAGGACATTGGGGTCTGTGGTTTTTAGGACTTTCACCTCTGATAAGTTTCTCTCCAAACGTCCCAGCCCTGTGGGAGGGGGATTAAATGGGTCAATGTCAAGTGTGTGCAGTAGGTGCTCAACAGTTGTTGAGGCTGGTGTTAGCGTGATTGTTCCCCAGGGCAGGAGGGGCCAGGAGCTCCCCCTGATGATCACATGGCAGAAGCCTCTGGGCTGATCCTCCGGGACCCAACCACTTCCTAGTCCACCTGCTCCTGGGGCAAGGGGTGGGGGTCGGGATGGGATCTGGGGGCGACCTTCTACAGAGACCAATGTGCTAAGGGAAGGGGCAGCCTGGAGCTGGGGAGGCAGCTCTTTCTGGAATCACACGTAGGGCCTGGGGGCCCTATCACTCTGGGAGAGTGGGGGCCTCTCAAAAGCTCGGGTTCTTCAGATGAGGAAATCCCGGGGAGCTTTGCCAACTGTGGGAAGGTGGAGGGACTATTGGGGGGCGGGGGTGCTGGGGATGCTGCGGGTAGAGTAAATGGGGGGGCAAGGACGCTGAGGGGAGCACAAAGCGATGCATGGAGGGACAAGGACGCTGCGGGGGTGGGTAACAAGGAGGCTGTGGAGCTACAAGGACGCTGCGCTCGCCAGTCACGGGCTCCGGGAACGGGAACTTAGCGTGCGCGGAACGCTCGGGCACGGCTGGCGGGCAGTCCGAGCGCCTTTGGGGGCCGGACCGTCGCGCGGCGACGATAGGAGCCAGCGGAAATGGGGCTCGCGTCCCGCGGCACTCCTGCTGTAGGGCTGTGGGAGCTGGGACCACTGTTGACTGCCCGCGCCGGCCCAACGCTGTCCCCAACCCCACCCCGAACCCGCCGCCCGAGGGCGCGCTTCCCCCGGGAGCAGCCGGTGAGCATTCGCGGGGAGGGCCGGCGTCCGCGTGGTGTGACCTTAGGGCGCCGCCCCTCCGGCCCGGGGCACCGGCTGTGGGCCTGACTCCCTGGCGGCGGCGGGATTGGGCTCAGGCGAAGGAGATCGAAAGGGTATACCGGAGTCCTCTCCCGGGGCCGGCGCATTCCTCTAGCCATTCGGAGTCTCTTTCATCATCCATGAAATGGGGACGCCACTAGCCACGGCCTAGGACCGGCCTGCGACTTAGGAGGGCAGGGAGCGGCCCCCGCCAGCGCCTCCCCGCCGCCCGCCCCAGGAGCGCGTTTTCCCAGACCGGGAGGTTTTGTGGCAGGGCCGCGTGGGTTCTTTTGGCCAGGAGCCTGGTGCCAATACCCTGCAGAGTGAAGGGCGCCTGGCTGGTTCCCTTTGACCCATGCAACTTGGGCCCCGCTGTGGACTCCTCGGAAGGGCATTCAGGGTCAGAGGAACTTTATAGTTGTCCCTGACTGAAGTAAAGGGCAAAAAATAGAATCCATTCTTCTGAAATGATAGGGGGGAAGGCACTATTCACAAAGCATGAGGAAAAAAAATGTTTTTTAAAACACAAACGACATGGGGTAAAAACTAATTGTGAGCTATTGAAGAACAGTGACTGGGAGGCTTCACAGAGGAGGGTTTCAGTCAGTGAGATGTCCCTGGCCAGTCATATCTGGGCTTTTCCCTGGAATCAGTTCATTCAAAGGATGAGAGGAAAGTACACCTCCCACTTAATAAGGTAGACTGTTGGCCTGTGGTTCTGTGGGAAGGGGCATCCTAGAGATCCCGACTGATCTGGGAATGTCTTGTTTCACAAGGTAACTTGGTGTTGTTCTTAACAGGGCAGGCTTTTCCAGGCGTGTGTCCTTTTTTTCTTTTTTCCCTCTTTTTTTATTTTTATTTTTTTTAAATCACAGTCTTTAAAGATGTGCATGTTGCCTAAGTTGCTGCCCTGTTTCTCCCATCTGCACCTCTGCTATCGATTGCCTGCTCTTTCATCTCTTTCTGGCTGTGTGATGTGAGCAGACTCCTTTGTGTTCATCACTCCCAGAGGCTGAGGTGGGAACAAGAATGGGAATTTGCCCCGTAATCTGTTAAGAGTTCTTTCTCACTACCCCAGGGATAAGAACATCAACTTCTGCCTTCTGCTGTTCCTTAGACATGAGGAGTTGCTGCTTTTTTCTTCTGTTTCAGTAAACTTTGTAGATGAAGCATAATGCGTACAAAGAGAGTGTACAACGCAATGCAGTTTCCCACAGTGAACACCATGTACCCAGCTTCCCCCAGAGCATCTATTCATCATTAGACCAGTTGTGTATTTAGGAGTCCTGCTGCTGCTGGACTCAGATGGATCCTTTCAGCTGGAACCCACGGATGTGAAAGGTCCCTTCTCCAAGATGGCTGGGAGAGGCCTTCACCCTCTAGCCCCAGGTTGGGCTGCCTGCAGGGGAGGAAAGCAGCTACATCAGTGATCTCTTAAGCCCTGGGCATTTCTGTTTGTGTGAGGCCTCCCAGTGCCCCCTGATCTTCAGGAAAAGGCTCCCTGTGCCTTCTACAATGTCACACTGCTCCAACATGTGTGTCTGTCTCTGTCCCGTTGTCCCCAAGGGGGTGGTGAGCATCGAGACCTGGAGGCCCAGGCTCAGTTCAAGGCCTGTGTTTCTCCCTCTGGTGCGGGCTCCAATGTGGGGATCTTAGCTCAGGGTGGCTGCTCTGCCCTTTATGATGTGGGGCAGTCAGTGTCTGGGAATGGGCACGCCTCAAGCTGAATACCCCCAGTCCCTGCTGTGTGAGGTCCTGCTGCTTGCTTGGCCTCA